GAACTTCTTTCAAGTGAGCATCATATTCAGATTTAGCTTCCTTATAAACATTAGTTGCTGTATTTCGCATGGCAACATAATTCTCCCAACAAAGACGAGTACGGTTAGCAGACCAGAGATTGTATGCAGCATGTTTGTCCCAATAAGCCTGGTGACACCGTTCATTAAACCATGCTTTATCATGTGAACGAGATTTCAGAGTTTTGCTGGGTACAAACTTCGTTATGATGTCTAACAATAACAAATTAAAAGCTTTAACAGGACAAGGAGCATTGTATACATTTTGCCAAACAATGCTATTAAAAGCATGGTAGACACCATTCCAGTTAATTCTAGATTTTAAGAAGACTTGTCTAGTTAGCGTAAAATTTGGCATAGGGAAGTCCAGCTGGATCTTACATGCTAGACTACAGTGGTCGGAAGAACCTATTGGTGCGATGGAGTCTACATCAACTACCCCTCTCACATCAGTTAGCAAAAGATCCAAAAGATTGCCACTCCTGTGAGTTGCACCACGGACTAACTGCTCACACCCAACCACATCTGCAAAATCTAATGCAGAAATGCCATGTCGGTCAGTTAGGGACACAGAATTAAGCCAGTCTCGGTGGTGAGCATTAAAATCACCTATAAATATAAAACAAGATTTAATATCATTCTCTTGAATAGAAATGTACGAAATCAACAAACAATCATAAATACTGTCAACAGAGTTAGGACTTCTATAAAGACTAAAAATGTAAAAAATTATTAAAACGACTACACACTCTCACAACCATGTATTCGTGACAACCACATTCATACTTTGTAAAACGATTAGCATTAAAACCAACTCTAGAATATAAACACAAACCTTGGGCTCGAGGCATGGAATTCCTACATAGCAACAAGGGTTTATTAAAATTGGGTAAAAGTAACTCTGACGTGTGCCTCATGTCTGAAACCAGAGTTTCAGCACAACAGATAATGTCAAATTTTGCCGAGATAACTGCAAGTTCATTCAAATTCCCGTGAAGGCCACGAATATTACTAAAAAGTAAATTACAATACTTTGGATGGCAAGGACCAGGATTCAATTCAACAACACCAGACAACAAAACAACAATTCCACATAAAAATAACAAAAACATAAATTTGAGAAAGAACTCAATTACACAAAACCCAGAGATTCTTAGCACCCCCTGACCACTGAAGGCCTGCTGGGGACTGGGGGCCATGGCTATATCGACATTCATGATTGTAATAAGAAAAGGAGAAAGTAAGAAAAAAATGTGAAAAAGGAAGGAAAACAAGAACTGCAGGGATGTGCCTTCCTACAATAGGGAGATGGCTGAATTCAGGAATGTTGGGCACACAACTATGGCTACAATTCAGAGGGTCCACCTCAAGGATGCTGTTGGTAGCTAAACTACTCATCCGTCTTTGCTATGGCAGCAGGGATACCTAGAGCTCTTATGACATGAACACTCATACGCTTATTGAGGACAGACAATAAATGGTGGTGTTCAAGTGAGAAGAATTAAGGGGGGCATTTCCTCCACACCCTGGGTTCTCAAAGCCCAACCAAGCTGCTCATCTGCTCATAGACCGTTGGCAAGTAAGGCTTTGCTAAGATATACCGCTTAGCACCTATTACTGGTCAGGACGCAGCAACGGTCACCATCTCCAGGGAGTAGCCATTGCTATTTCCAGCAGACTCCACCCCTTGGTAGTGGAAGTTACTCTTGTTGATGAGCAAATAATGGTATTGAGACTTAAAAGAGACGTAAAAGAGATGTTCAGCGCCAAACTTGTATCTGTCGCAGACAGTTGTCCTTGGCGAGATATTTGTATTGTTCTGGGTGACTTCAATGCGGTATCTGGCTTTGATCGAGCTGGCTATGAGATGTCTGTCGTTCCCCATTTCTTAGCAGCTGATGCCGGTAGTGAGAATGGCCTCCTTTTTCGGGACTTTGCTAGGTCCCAGAAATTGAGGATTTCTGGCTCCTGGTGCCAGCACGCAGACCCGCATTCTTGGATATGGTACTGCGATGTGAGTAATGCAGCCAAGGAGATCGACCACATACTTGTTAGCACTCGTTGGAGGATCTACCAGAAATGCAGGATGTGGCTACCCTCCAGGTCCACTTCAAAACTCCCCAGCGGTCCAATGATCATCCTAGGGTGTTTCATTTGGACAGGCTGAGGGAGGAGTGTGCCTTTGGATTTCTGAGGCAATCTCTGATCTTTTCACAATGCTGGACAGTCTGACAGACCCTGTTCTTCTGTGGGATACCTTCAACCGTGAAATGCTTGATGCAGCTCAAGAGGCGATTGGTGTACACCCGAGAGCAATACAGAATTTCATCTGGCAAGAGACACTGGAAGCTACAAATGCTTGTCGTGCAGCTCGTCTGATAGGATCGGGAATTGCACCGTTCACATGTGTGCAGAACTTGGACTCTGTTAAGAAGGGACAAGTACAGTTTTTTAGGAGTCTTACAGAGGAGGTATATGGCCATTTCTTAGTAAATGACCATTGTCCTGCCTACCAAGCCCTGAGAAAGCTGAACTCCAAGCCCTCTTCACAGGTGACAGTAGTTCGCTCAGTAAGTTGTCAGATTGTCTCAGATCCTGTTGCAGTGCGGTAACATTGGGCTGAGTATTTTGAGCAGTTGTATCAGTTAACTTGGATGTGGGGAGTGCCGAGATTCCATTGCCCGGACCCACCCATTAGTGAGGATCCTCCCTCTCTAACCGAAGTTAGGGGGGTGATCTCCAAGCTGAAGAGTGGTAAAGCAGCTGGTGTCTGCGGCATCCCAGCTGAACTGTTAAAGACTGGTGGGGAACCTATGGCATGGGGGTTACATGCTGTCCTGGCTGCCATCTGGCGGTCTGGTACCATGCCTCCTGACCTGTTGAGGGGTGTGGTCATCCCTCTCTGAAAGGGGAAGGGGGACCGATGGGACTGCAGCAATCACCGAGGCATACACTGCTCAGTGTACTGGGTAAGGTTCTCACCCACATCCTTCTGAGACGTATCAGAGACCACCTATTGAGGCACCAGAGGCTAGGGCAATCTGGACTCATTCCTGTTAAGTCCACAATAGACTGTACCCTTGCGCTTCAAGTCATTGTAGAGCGCTGCCGTGAGTTCGGGTGTGGTCTGTTTGCAGCCTACATTGACCTCAAGAAGGCATTCGATACGGTGCATCGGGAATCACTCTGGGAGATCCTGAGACTGAGAGGAATTCCAACAAGGATTATTGGACTAATAGCAAGCCTGTATACTAGTACTGAAAGTGCTATAAAGTGTGGTGGGGGCATGTCGAGCTTCTTTCCTTTGATTTTGAATTCTTTCCTGTCAGTTTAGGAGTGAGGTAAGGCTGTGTCCTTGCACCAACTCTTTTCAACACTTGCATGGACTGGATACTGGGCAGAGTTACTGTTCAAAGTCATTGTGGAGCAACTCTGGGCAATATTAAGGTTACAGAC